GGTACGGGATGACACGGGATGGGAGTTTTTGAAAACACGTTCAAATCATACCGGACCCAAACGGGATCGGTATGATTCGGTATCAATGTTGATACCGTAAATAATCTGCAAATTTTCAAGTTCAATCAAATCTCATATAGGCTTTTACAAGAGTTCAATCAAATCTGCAAATTTTCAAGTTCAATTAAATCTGAAAATCAAATCTAATAACAAACAAAACAATCAATCAAGAGTTCAGGTTCAAGGCATGTCCCTTTCCCTTTGGATCTACACCAAATGTGTTTGTACTGGTGGCAGCAGCTTCAGTACTTGCATATTCTGCAAAAAATAAATCCACACATGTTCAACACTCTCAAATTAAACCGTCTATTTAATATTTTTGTATTGGTTGGAAAGAATTTAACAAACTAAGTGCTTATGGCCTAAAATTTTTAATGATAGTAAATTAATGCACAATTTATCTGCTTATGAGAAAACAAACCATGTGGGCAAACTGGTGTAGGGAAGGACAGTTGTGAAAATAAGGAATATGGTGAGAAGTGAAATGCATATTTGCTTAGATTCATCCTTGAATACAATTCAGCAAGTAAATTCGGTCTCTTAGATACCATTTTTTTTATAACATTTCTCACAAAAACTAGATTGGGTAAGCGAATTCAACATAATTAAATGAACTCATCCACAACAAAAGAAATGATTATTACATGGCTCATGGGCAGCATCCAAATAACTACGCAGCTTAATATCAACGAACTGAAATGGGTTTAACTGGGAATGAAAAATTAATAGTACCTAATGCTTGGTCAGACGCCTTCTGATGGCCCTGGTCTTCTTTGGGCGCAAATCCAGAGGAAGAAACTTCTTGTTCTTGTAGACTTCCCTTAGAGCCGCTTTTTGCTTCTGGGAAATCACTGTCAACACCTGTGCTATTGAAAGCCTCACCACCTTGCTGAAACCACAAACACAAAATTGTAAAAAGAATTCATAAATCAACAATTCAACATATAAAAATTATAGAGAGAGAGAGAGAGGGTACATTTTGGAGAGCTTGTTGGGAGCTCCACCGGTGACCTTGGCGACTCGGAGGAGGGCAAGCTCTGCCTTCAGATCCTTCAGTTGACCCAAAAGCTCTGCCTTTGTCTTGTTTCTGAGCTCGTGGACCTTGATCCTCGCTTTTTTACATAAAAAAAAAAGTTCACAACAATGAAAAATTAGAACGACCCAGATTCAGTTGAAGAAGATAGATATATTATGAAATATGAATACCTGAGAAGGACCATGAGATATAGAGATTACAGAGACAATTAGGGAGAAGAAAGAGAGAGATACCTGAGAGGAGATGAGCTGTGTTCGTCGCTCTGTCTCGTCGTCACAGAAGGAGGAGAGGAGCTGCTGTGGAAGGAACTCGAAGGGAAAGAAATGAAAAACCCCAACCCTAAACTTGAAATGTCTCTTACTGAGAGAGCAAGTATTTTTTATTGGTTTTACCTACAGCAACCAATTTAACCGGTAACCAACAATCAACGCTTTGGATTACCCCACATGCCCCAGCTACTCATCCAATGGTCTATAATAAATGGCGCATCAGTGCGCCTTGCGCATTGTAGAATTTTCCATACCAGTACAGCCAATGCACCACAGAACTACTCCCAAATTTGATGACCGGATAAAAGAGCTAAGGCCATCTCCAGCCATAGGGCTAAATGTAGTCCAGGATTAAATTTAGCCCCCCAAAATATTAATTTTTTAAAGAATAGTGCAGGGCTAAATTTTTTCATCTCTAGCCATGCAGGGCTATATTTTAGAATCCTTCATATTTTATTATTTTGAGAAAAACTATGGTACAATACTCATACATTCCACAACTATATATTGTTTAATTTAATTAAACTACTATATTTGGGAGATGGCCTCATGACCCAAATTTTTTTATAATTTTTTTAAACAACACCAAACATCTAAAAACGTGAAGACATTTAAATAAATATATAAAAAAAGGATGGGTTCAATGTTTCAGCTCCAACGGTCATCAATAAGAATTTTTTATAATTTTTTTTAAAAACAATACTTGAAAGATTTGAGGGTCTGACCGCATTTATTATTATTATTATTATTATTATTATTTAAAAAAAGGAGTGGGGTAGGTCTAACCCAACAATCATTTACCAACAGTTTTTTATACTTTTTTTTCTCATACAGTACGAATTGCAACATTCAAAAAGGTCTAGCATGCTTTAATGGGGTTCTTAAAAAGCACATGTATGGGTCCCACTAGAAATTTGGCCTAGCCCAAAGCTGGGCTATATGTGGCCTGGTTGGAGGGCTAAAGGACCAAATATAGCCCTCCAAATTTGGCCAAAATTTTGTTTAGCCCATGACTGGAGATGGTTTTTGTATTATTTTAGGGCTATATTTGGGATATAGCCCATGGCTGGAGATGGCTGGAGATGGCCTAAGGTGAGGAAAGGACAATGATGGGCAAAAATGGACAGATGACAATCACATATGGTAATGTGTGAACACGCTTAGCATATCGTGATTGGTTGGGGCAATTCCACCTAACCTCCTCCAGCAATGTAATATGTGAATTGACTAAACTACCCTTCCATTCATGCCTGGAAAAAGAACAGAATTGGACAGTGGACCCTCCAAACAAACAAAGGATGCCATGTCACCACCACCAACCAAAGACCAAAGCGTTTGTCATATGATCTCCATTGCAACCAAAGTTTACCAGAACATAAAAAGTCTTCCCACCCACTCACATCCAGGAAAAGCCAAACAGCACCCAACAATAATGGGAATTGAATTTCTTTGGCTCTATCATCTATACACAAAGCAAACCAACAAAGGCCTGAGAAGGAAACTAAAAGCATATAGATAGATATAGACCACATCTCTAACAAAATATACACTGATAGTCTATATATATATATAGTCATATTGATATAGATATGGCTTCCCAGTCCCAATCCCAGCCACCACCGTCACCTCCGTCAAAGACAGCGGCCTTGGATCCTACCCTTCATGAATTTGGGTTCGAGATTGAAGAGGTAACCCCCAAAAAGGTCTCCGGTCACCTCCATGTCACCCAAAAGTGCTGTCAGGTCATCATCTTCTTTCTTTCTTTCTATCTTTCTTTGTTTGTTCATATGATGAATCTTTTTCCTGCTGAAAGTCTAAAAGGAAGATGTTAATTAACGAAGTAATATGACTAACTGTTCTTTGCTGCTGAGACCAGCCTTTCAAGGTGTTGCATGGAGGGGTATTAGCTCTCATAGCTGAGGCTCTGGCTAGCATGGGAGCCCACCTAGCATCTGGTTTACAAAGGGTGGCTGGGATTCACCTCAGCATCAACCATTTGAAGCGTGCTGAGCTTGGTGACCATATCTTTGCTGAAGCCACGCCTGTCAATCTTGGCAAAACCATTCAGGTTCCTCTGCTCCTCATCACCACCATCGCAATCCCACCCTCCTTGTCTTCTTAATTATAATCCATCTTTCATCTTTCATCAATGTTTCGTTTTAATTACTTAATGGAATCAATAAACGGATATTATATTATTCAAAGTTGTTTTGGTTTGGCAATTTTGGGTAGGTTTGGGAGGTGTGGCTGTGGAAGATTGATCCTTCAAACTCAAGCATCAAATCCTTAGTATCATCATCAAGAGTTACTCTTTTATGCAACATGGCAGTGCCAGAGCATGCAAAAGATGCCGGTGAAGCTCTCAAGAAGTATGCCAAATTATAAGTTTTCTTGTACCCTATTCATCTTCAACTATTTTTGTTGTTGAAATCAATGGAGAAATAAAAAACGCTTTCATTTAATTAGCATTTTATAATATAAACAACTATTTCACACTCAAGATGAGGTTAACTATAAGCATTTCTGCCATGTTTGCAATGTGTTCTGCACTAAACAGAAGGAACTGCCTGAGCCTACTACTCATCCTCTTTTTAGCTTGATAAATTGTTGCAAATTGAAGATGCATCAAGATTGGTTTTGTTCTCTCAAACATGTGTTTCGTGAACAAAACTGTGTTGTTGATGTTTTGGCTCACATGAGTCATGATATGGTTCCTGGCTTTCATAGATTTGAGCTGGCGCCTCCTTGTGTTTGTGGAAGCCTTGTTGCTGAAGTTTGCAGCCTGGCTAGGCCTAGAGTAGTGGCTGTTTAGTTCTTTTTGTTCTGGCCTATTTTGGCCCCTATCTCACCAAAAAACTCAATGGGCCTGACTGAATTAGATATATTCAATTAAAATAGACATGGATCTAGTCTATTGTTTGATGAGCTTAATTGTATCACAGACTATATATATTCAATTAAAATCAACATGAATCCAGTCTATTATTTGATGAGCTTAATTGTATCACAGACTGGTTAGGACTCAAATTTTTATATAGGATACCAGTCCAGCATATGCTGGATTAGAAACCCAAGCAGAGACGTGGGTTTCAAAGACTAACGAGTTTTCGTTTCTTCTCTTCGTCTTCTCTGCTGAACGTGAAGTCCCTCAGCCTGCGTGCCTCCCTCTTCTCTCCTCTGCGTCATCTATGCTATATTCTCTCCTCTCTCCTCTCTCCTCTCTCCTCTCTCTTCTTCTCTCATCTCTCCTCTCTCTTCTTCTCTCATCTCCTCTCATCTCCTCTCTCTTTTGGTTTTTTTTAACTGATTCTCTGTTCCGGTTTATTTGGCTCTCTCTTAATATATATATATATATATTTTTTCTTAATTTGTGTTAGATATTGAGATGTGTTGACGACGTTGAGTGCTGTGATTTCTTTCTTTTTGGGTTTGATTTCACTTTTCGTTGAAGATCTTTCAGATCTGGTATTGGGATTCCAGAATTTGCATCATTGATTTTGGGTTTGAGAGTTATCTTCTTGGTTCGATTAGGATTTTTCATCTGGTTCTAGGCTTTCTGCCAAAAAAAATGAGGTTTTTTTTTCAATTTGAGGAAAAAAGTTGGAATTATTGTTAACTAATTTTTTTTTTAATATAAAAATAAAAAAAGCTAATTTCAGTCTGTTGTTTGGTGAAAAATGAACAGAATTGGACTTAAAACTTAACCAGTCTAAGCTAGTCCAATTCAATACTTCAAAGCCTATTCTAACCGGTCTAAGCCAATCCACCAAATGGAGACCAAAGTCCTTAAGTTTAATTAACAAAACATATTAAATATGTTCTTGTTCAATACACTTCAATAAAAGGTAAAATATGATATTAATTGCATTCCTTCTTATAAATATGAAAACGAATTGTGATGATGTGGTGTGTTAAATGTTAAAATATGTGATAATAGGGTGTGGGTGGGTGTGACCATATTTATGTTCCATGTAAGTAGGCCTCATCATTTGGCCCGCGGGCTCATGGGCTTACGGGGGCCCGCCCGGCCCATTGAAAAAAAGCCCGGCCCGGCCCGTTATGGGCTTTGAGAGGGCCCGGCCCGCTTGGGCTTGGGCCGGGCTTGGGCTTGGGTGTTTGAAGCCCGGCCCGGCCCATAGGCCCGGCCCGATTAAGCCCATGAAAGCCCGGCCCGGCCCGCCCACAAAAGCCCGGCCCGTTAGGCCCGCATACATATATAATTATGTATAAATAAGGGTTTAGGATTAGGATTACATCACTTGAATGACAAATCCCCCTCTTTAATTTTTTTTTGTGTGTTACTTGTTATAAAAATTGTGTTTGTTTCCATTGAATTCTACTCATTCCTAGTTTATAATTGGATGATTAGCACATTAATTTGTGTCATTTATTAATACAACAATTATATATATATATATAATAAGACAAACAACATATCATATCACCAAACATAATCATACCACCAAATATAATCATACTTTTCTTTAACACATCACCAAATGATGAGCACAAAATTAATACAAGTTTTATCCTTAAATTTATAGTTGTTAGTATTTTCTTTTGTTTTATGTAAATCTATTAGAGTATTTATATTGGTTTTTTCCAATCTTGTTTTTATATTTAATGAGTGGTTGTTTTTTCCAATCTATTAGAGTATTTTCTTTTGTTTTATGTAAATCTATCAAGGAAATATGCTCAAGACAACGTGAAAATGTGATTACATACAAAAACATGAAAATGCATACATAAATTTAAAAATCATATGTTTCTTATTATTTTTTAGGCCCATTTCGGCCCGGCCCGTAGGGCTTAGCCCGGCCCGGCCCGATGGGCTTTTTCAAGCCCGACTCATGAGATGGGCTTGGGCTTTGAATTTTCTAAAAAAGCCCGGCCCGGCCCGGCCCGATATTTTCTCTCTCCTCTTTAAAGCCCGGCCCGGCCCGGCCCAAGCCCATGAAATTTGGGCCGGGCTAGCCCGGCCCAGCCCATTGACGAGCCCTACATGTAAGTTAAGAAAACAGTTAGAATAACTTTATATTTTATTTTATATTATACAAGTTAGAATACAAAGTTGAGATAAGTAAGCATACAAAATACACACGCAACGCGCAACCCATAAGGATAAAATTGTCCAAAATCTAGATTAGATAAAGGGCTTAAAAAGAAAACAAAAAGTTAATGGATATTTAAGTAAATAACATGTGGGCAAAAATCAACATGTGACAAAGACCAGTAGCCTAGCTACCTAATCCTCCTCACTCCTTCCCACATTACAGATTCACAGGCGCTCCTCCCACCTAACCTCGTCTCCAACAATGCTACGTGTGGACTAAACTACCCTTCCATCTATCCATCCCTGGACCAGAACAGAACAGAACAGTGGACCCTCCAGAAAAACAAAGGATGCCATGCCACCACCAACCAAAGACCAAACTGTATGTCATATGATATTCATCATCTGCAATGCAAAAAGTCTTCCCACCCACTCTCATCCAGGAAAAACCAAACAAACGACAGCCAACAATGAATGGGAATTGAATTGCTTTGGTTCTATCCTCTATACACAAAGCAAACCACCAAAGGCCAGAGAAGGAAACTAAGAGCATAGATATATACCACAATTGTAACAACATATACACTGATATATATATTTATATATAATATATTGATATAGATATGGCTTCCCGGTCCCAATCCAAGCCATCATCAGCACCACCACCACCATCACCGCGGTCAAAGATGGAGGCTTTGGATGTTCCCCTTCATGAAACTGGGTTCGAGTTTGAAGAGGTAACCCCAAAAAAGGTCTCCGGTCACCTCCATGTCACCCAAAAGTGCTGTCAGGTCATCATCTTCTTTCTTTCTTTCTATCTTTCTTTGTTTGTTCATATGATGAATCTTTTTCCTGTTGAAAGTCTAAAAGAAGATGTTAATGAAATAAGTAATATGACTAACTGTTCTTTGCTGCTGAGACCAGCCTTTCAAGGTGCTGCATGGAGGGGTATCAGCTCTCATAGCTGAGGCTCTGGCTAGCATAGGAGCCCACCTGGCCTCTGGTTTACAAAGGGTGGCTGGGATTCACCTCAGCATCAACCATTTGAAGCGTGCTGAGCTTGGTGACCATATCTTTGCTGAAGCCACGCCTGTCAATCTCGGCAAAACCATTCAGGTTCCTCTGCTCTTCACCGTCGCATTCCTATCCTCCTTGTCTTCTTAATTATAATCCATCTCCCAGGCTCCTAGCCCTCTCCAGTCTTCATGATGAGGACATCTTTGTCAAACCCATTAGGGTTTACAAACGAAAGAGATGGAAGAGGGAATTATTAATTAGTTTCCAAATTTATTTGTTAATTCCTAGGTTCTCTAAGTTTTCCAGATTTCATTAGGATTTTTAGTTTTTCCAGATTTCAGTAGGATTTCTAAGTTTCCTATTTTATTTGAATTAGGATTTCTTTCCTAGAATAATTTTATTTTCCTTTTCACTCTAGGGTTAATTCATTATGGGAGTTGAGATTTGAATATTGAGTAAAGTTTATTTTCCAAAGATTGGAGACTACTTGGTGTGAAGCCAAACTCCTGGAGAGATTCCAGACCTATCCCTTTTGTTATATTTTCTGTTTTCCATTATTTTCGCTTCCGCTAAACTACCTAAATTCTCAATTCACCCATATCCTACATCACTTCTTCATCAAGTATCACTTCCAATTAACTGTAATTACAACTGCTATTACAACAATAGTTGTAGTGTAGGTGTCCAAGAAACAAATGACATTTAGAAATTGTATACAATAATAATCATGTTGGCACCATCCAGACTATCCTGCCATCATTTCATACTAGGGAAATGTGAATGCCAATACCTAATTATCCAAAGCAGGAAGCAACTAGGGTGCCAATGCCCTCCACATTGGTTTTTGTTTTTTTTTTTTTTATCTTTCATCAATTTATCATTTCATTTACTTAATATATTCAATAAACAGATTATATCATTCAAAGTTGTTTTGATTTGGCAATTTTGGGCAGGTTTGGGAGGTGAGACTCTGGAAGATTAATCCTTCAAACTCAGACATCAAATCCTTAGTATCATCATCAAGAGTTACTCTTTTATGCAACATGCCTGTGCCAGAGCATGCAAAAGATGCCGGTGATGCTCTAAAGAAGTATGCCAAATTATAAGTTTTCTTGTACCCTATTCATGTTCAACTATTTTTGTTATTGAACCAATGGAGAAATTAAAGACACTTTGATTTTAGCATTATAATTTAAACAAATATTTCATACTCAAGATGAGGTTGTCAAACAAGCTTGAAGTAAGCATTTATGCCATGTTTTCAATGTGTTCTGCACTAAACAGAAGGAACTGCCTGAGCCTACCTTTGGCATCAACGTGGTTCAAGGAATGAGACACATTCACAACCCAATTAGGTAGGTCAAGAACAAAAACTGACAATGTACACAGTTTCGGTTTCCTAGTATTGAAACCGAGGAAGAGTTCAATAAAAAGCTTCCATGATCATCCTGAGTCCTGACCTACAAGTTCTAATCATTGCACAAATTGTTTTGTATTGGCTTCACAAATAAGAACTGTAACTTGTTCATAAACATACAAATATTCAAAATTGAAACTTGATTAAGCTTACAAATATACAATTTAGAGCATGCATACACCAAGTTGAGGTTGAGTGAGAAAACCTACATGACTACATATGAGGCACATGAACTGAATCATCAAAAAATTGTCATTTTGAATCGTTTCCCCACCGGGATGTGGAAATACTTTTCCTTGAAACCGAAACAAATAAAAGTATGAGCAAAAATATGTGTTTAAGCTAGGTAAGAGAATTGGGAAAGCAAGCAATACCAATAAGTACCTGAGACTGGCAAGCTGTTGGGTCAATTCGTTGATCTCAAGGCCAGAGAGTTTGAGAGAAGACAGAGTTCCAGGCACCTCTTGGGACACCACATTGGATAATTTTCCCACCGCAGCTGCCAATGTTCTCAAACCCTGAAATCGCAATAAGCTTGATTGCCACATGCATTGATAAAGTGACTGTATTTCTCAAAATTCAAAGCTAAAGTGTGAAAGTAACATACTTTGATAGTTGGGATGCAAATTACAGCAACGGAGAAAAGCGCAGCAAAAGCCTGCAGGTCCAGCCAGTAAAACGATGAACAGGGTTCAGTTGCTGGTTAATTTGTTACTATATGTTTGATTGCAGTAATGTAAAAATGTCGAAATGGGTTACCATGGAGAGGACGAAGAGGAGAGAGAGAAGGCCCAATTTGGCAGTGGGTCGAATCCGCAGAGCTTTGACGTGTTGTACGGACGGAGCAATGGCATAAGAAGACGCAGACAGCAGCGGTTGCGTTTGGGTGGATGGGGTAATTGAATTGGTTTTTGAAAGTTTCGGTAGTTGCAGCGTCGATACGGATGGAATATTGGGTTTCTGGGAAACTACAGAGGCAGCCTTTGGCATCAACGTGGTTCAAGGAATGAGACACATTCACAACCCAATTAGGTAGGTCAAGAACAAAAACTGACAATGTACACAGTTTCGGTTTCCTAGTATTGAAACCGAGGAAGAGTTCAATAAAAAGCTTCCATGATCATCCTGAGTCCTGACCTACAAGTTCTAATCATTGCACAAATTGTTTTGTATTGGCTTCACAAATAAGAACTGTAACTTGTTCATAAACATACAAATATTCAAAATTGAAACTTGATTAAGCTTACAAATATACAATTTAGAGCATGCATACACCAAGTTGAGGTTGAGTGAGAAAACCTACATGACTACATATGAGGCACATGAACTGAATCATCAAAAAATTGTCATTTTGAATCGTTTCCCCACCGGGATGTGGAAATACTTTTCCTTGAAACCGAAACAAATAAAAGTATGAGCAAAAATATGTGTTTAAGCTAGGTAAGAGAATTGGGAAAGCAAGCAATACCAATAAGTACCTGAGACTGGCAAGCTGTTGGGTCAATTCGTTGATCTCAAGGCCAGAGAGTTTGAGAGAAGACAGAGTTCCAGGCACCTCTTGGGACACCACATTGGATAATTTTCCCACCGCAGCTGCCAATGTTCTCAAACCCTGAAATCGCAATAAGCTTGATTGCCACATGCATTGATAAAGTGACTGTATTTCTCAAAATTCAAAGCTAAAGTGTGAAAGTAACATACTTTGATAGTTGGGATGCAAATTACAGCAACGGAGAAAAGCGCAGCAAAAGCCTGCAGGTCCAGCCAGTAAAACGATGAACAGGGTTCAGTTGCTGGTTAATTTGTTACTATATGTTTGATTGCAGTAATGTAAAAATGTCGAAATGGGTTACCATGGAGAGGACGAAGAGGAGAGAGAGAAGGCCCAATTTGGCAGTGGGTCGAATCCGCAGAGCTTTGACGTGTTGTACGGACGGAGCAATGGCATAAGAAGACGCAGACAGCAGCGGTTGCGTTTGGGTGGATGGGGTAATTGAATTGGTTTTTGAAAGTTTCGGTAGTTGCAGCGTCGATACGGATGGAATATTGGGTTTCTGGGAAACTACAGAGGCAGCTCTCTTGCTGCCATGAAAAGGGTTCCCCTGTTTCATCGCCGTGGCCACTAGCGACTGAGCCCGCATCTCTCTCTCTCTCTCTCTCTCTACTGAAACTATCTGTTTCTCATCAGAAATCAAAATGTTGCAAAAAAAGATAAAAACGAAAATGGAACGACGTCGTGCTTCATTAACTCACATTTTAATCTCAAAACGGCATATGCCGTTCTTAAATTAAAACCGGCCTTTTTCTCCAGTTGTGCATCAACATAACATCAAAGAAAGATGATACTCTAGAGCCGTGTGTGGTGGCCGGAGCCTTGTGTGAGAGAGAGAAAGTGTATGGCGGCTAGGGTTTGTGAGAGAGAATTTCTGCAGAGTTTCAGACATAAATTTAGACGTAACTCAACCTTTGTGTGTAGCCATGTATTTATAGGAGCCTCAGAGGCTAGGGTTTCAAAAGAATAATTCCACAGATGGAAAGGAATTATTCTTCCCTGATTTCGAGAGATTGATGTAATTAGGGATTCAAATCCCTAATTAAGGCAAGAATCAAATAATTCCCAATTAAATCAATTAACTCCCAATTAGGTCAAATAACTCCCAAATTGATTGGCTTAATTTTTTTGACTTAGGATCTAAGATATTTTGCTTCCACAAATGCCCCCCCAGCTTCTGCATGGTGCGTGGTGGCATGTAGGAGGTGTGAATTAACTGTTGGGCTGTCCAGCTATAACTGGGCTTCCTTCTGTTACTTGGGCTCCTAAGTGAAGGAGGTTTTTGACTTGCCACTTGGTCTTTGACCTAGGCTGGAGGCGCGCGGGCTTGCTGCTGGAGCAGGTGGCAGTTTGGGCCGGCTTACTTGCTAAGGCTGGTCCAAACAGCTTCAATTCCTTTTTTTTTTTGGTGCCACGAACTAGGAACAGTCTGAGTTAAGGCGATCACGTGTGGCATACGGACATGCTGGAAGTCATCGGCAAATGGGATTGGGAGGTTGGCGACGGTCCCCTCCTTCCTCACACCTACTGTGATGGTAAGTTGTACCTCTTTGATCTGCTATAGATTTTCTGAAACTTTGCTGTGTATCTGACCGACTTCCATCTTCTGCTTGCAGAGAATGACATCTACAAGAAGCTCGATCTCGGCCCGGACATAACCAAGGTTTAGCAAGCTCTAAACATCTCTACTAGGTTCCGTGAATGGCACTGGTTGTTGAGCAAACGTCGGAAGGAGGTTGGTGGTCTGCCCTTGCCGAAGATGTTGGAATATGGAAGCTATATGGCTCGGACCTAGATGATCTGCTAGCTGAGCAGGAGGAGTCCTTGGCTGAACTTCCTCCTTCTGCCATAAGCGAGTCTTCCTCAAGAGGGGTCTCGTGTGTTGAGAAGATCCCCATGGGAGTTACTCCTTTTTCGTTTGCCGGGATCAAGCTCCTCGTCAACGTGAACAACAAGAATTTCAATAGCATGCAGGAGGTCCGGGATATTCTGCTCAAGTCTCCACCCGAACTGCCCAAAACCCGTGATCTTCCTTATAAGGAGGCTATTGAGAAGCAGAGTTTGGGTCGCCTATGCCGATCCGAGGATCAAACTGAGAGGACTGTACATCTATCCAGCAATCATGACTCATCTGGAAAGCGATGAACAGTCAAGTGCGGAGCTGACTCAATGTTGCAAGTTGCGACCAAGAGAGCTAAAGAGTTGTTTGCCCGAGCAAAAAGTCCTTCAGTTGCACGAACTGTCGATCCGGGAGTTGGTGATAGCTCTGCTGGTCAAGTTTGACACTCATGTTGAAGCCACGGAGTCGTCTAAGCATGAAATTGCTGCTAATGCGTACAAGCTGGGATACTTGGACTGCAAGAACGGTGCTCCTCCTTGTTGCCCTCTCGAACATGAAGATGGTGAACAACTCTATCTTAACCTGCCCCTTACTCAAAGTGAGCAGATCAATGCTGTGGATGTAGAACCAGTTGAAGAGCAGATAGCAGACGAAGCCCAAAGGTGGCGTAGCTAATGAGGTTAGGGCAAATGCGGAGGAGCAGGCAGTTGGGGCTGCTGAGCAGATGGTGCCGGTTGAGCAAAATGAGGCTATTATCAGCACAGTTGATCAGGAGGCAGCTGAGGATGTGATCGGCTAAGGGTCATCTGCCGAAGTCCCCTAGTAGATGTAGTTCATTTTTGCTATTTTTGAATTTTGTAATAATTTTTTTTTTCAATAATTGGTCTTTAGTCGACCACCTTATTTCTTGTTGAACTTGGCTAGTTGGCTGCTTTGCTATGCAATTTTCAGTTGTCTTTCAAACTTCAATTCTCACCGTATCTTGTAAGTGTATGTCCGGAGACATAACACTTTTCTAGTTGAGCTAAACCTTTTTCATTTTAAACCAAGTATCTTAGCCTAGTCTCTTTGAATACAAATAGAAAAAGGAAAAAGGGAATAGATTTTTACCCTTGATGACCTTTTCTTGATTTCTCAAGAATGAACACCTTTGTTGGAAAGGCCTTTTGTTTTTCTTGATTTTGACTCCTTCACCTTAAGGCTCCAAGATTGGAGTCCTCTACCTTACCACACCAAATGCTCCTAGAGATGAAGAGAAGGCAATCAAGAAGTATGGATGCTAGTCTACTTCTTGATTGGACCAATTTTGGTTTATGGAAGATGAGATACAAAGATGATCACTCATCAACCAAAGTAGGAAACCAAAAACCCTAGCTAGTTTTTCTCCAAAGTTTAGCTTATATAGGACAGCACAAAAGGCAAGGGGAGAGCTTCCCCTTAGTTGCCAAAATTTGGGTGGGTATTTGGGGCTCCATTTGGTACATGGGTTATGTCATCTTATGCCACTTATGACAGGACCCGACCCAAATTCCACTTTGGAATCCGAGCCGAACCCTGTGCGTGTTCGACACCTGGCAAGTGCCGAGCACAAAAGACCTAATTGCCCTTCTAGTCAACTTCCAACTAAAACTGGGGTTTGACTTTTGCTGAAAAATTCAGCAAAGTCTCCCCTGCAGTTAAACCAATCCCAAGATTACACCTGTCAAACATGCATATAAAATATACACCAACTGTCAGCATGCAAGTAATTACATTCCAACAGTTAGACATGCAATCTAGGGCAATATCAGAGCTCTACACAGAAGATTATAAGTATAAAATAATTATACAAGACCCTACGTTGTCAAGGGATGTGGCGGAAGGTGGACTTGGCCCGGTGGTGGCGCACTGATGCACGACTACTGCCTGGGGGTGCAAAACATTAAAAAGGTGAGTAGACCAAAAACAAAGTTTAGAAAGTAGCATAAGAACATACTAACTCCTCTGTAAAAACAGTTATGAAACTAAATCACTTCTTTTATAAATAAACTCATACTGAAAGTAATGCAAATGTATATAAATATATATATAGAGAATCAATCACACATTTAATTAAACATTAATTACTTGAAAGCATTGAACTCAACTTTAATCTACCACCTAGGTGTACCCATGTATAATTCCGTCAATTCCTTTAGTTTCCGTCAATTCCTTTTAATTCCGTCAATTCCATCCTTGTGCCACTGGAGTGACACATCCTCGCGCCACAGGAGTGACACTTCCTAACAGACCTCGGGAAACACAAAGTCAACCCGAGCCGCAACCCTAGCAGAATTCAGGGGACAGTTGGTCGCCCTGATCCACAATCCTAGCTAGACTTAGGGAACACTTGGCCCACCTGAACTGCACTCCTAGCACCACATGGTCCGAGCGTCCCCGAGACTCGTGGGGCTGTGTCAAGCATGCTGACATACCCGAAGGCAACTGGATGTCCGTCGATATCATTATAACCGAAGGCAACATAATTTTATTCCGAAGGCAACTTTATTTCCGAGGCAACATTTATTATACTGAAGGCAACCTTAATAAATCTTGGGTACCTATGGTGGTTTAAAATAAATATATATAAATGATTCTGAAAAATATTAAAGTTTATAAAACTATTCCTTAAATCTTGCTGCCATTTAATCTGGTAATACCTCAATTCTGACTCTCCAAATCCCTTTAATCATATTCAACTAGGCAGCATACAAATAAACAGAAATGTTTAAATCTATCTAGTCATGCTAGAAAAGCTGTATTCAGTAAAACTTATTCAAGATCAAATAATAAAATTATATTGCATAAATCGTTTATAAAACAAAAAGTCCACTCACAGATACTCTGAGCTAGTTGGACCCTTTGAAGGTCCCTCCTGCGGGTCACCTGGTGCTCGGGTGCCTGTATAACCATCATAATATTTTATTAAAAACTCTGCTCAGTAATATAGTATAAATTAAAAACCCTGACCCCCGGCTCCTAAAAGTGCGTGCATCACTTTAAAGGTCATTCCTATGCCCACATTAGCTTTTCTCTCAATGGGCACGATTTAAAAGTACCTAGGGACTCAAAAGCGATAAAGTCCCAAAAAGTCAACTCGAGACCCTGTGGGGTCCACGACCTCAGAATTCCAATTCGAACGTTCCTAGAGGTTCTAACAAGCCTAGGACACATGTCCTGAAAAATTGGCCTCGATTGGACGGTCGGATTGCTCACGATCGCACGATCGGACTGACGAACGATTTTCCGTAAATCTAGCCCTAGGGTTGGCTTTTTCGGAGCATCCGAGACTCCAATTTACGATCCGTCGAATCCTACACGATCCTTAAAATATCTAGATCAACATACTCCAGTTTGACTACGATCCAACGGTCTGAACGTATTGAACATGGAAATCGCACACTATGTGAGATCCGTTCGGGGTTCAAACGTTATCCAAATTGAGATCAGCGAAATCCTACACGCTCGTGAGGACACGAGGATTATTATAGGATCAAGAGTGGCTCCTGTTACCTGGCCCACGTGCCGGCAGTGCGTGGGTGTGCCTAATAATTTCCGGTGACCGGATTTTCTCCACAACGTCGGCCCAAACTCCTATCCTAGGTAATATACCCTATTTGGAACCACTTTTATTCTTGGACTATGGCCAAAAAGTGGCCGGAAGTGGCTAAAAAGGGCAACGCAAACCGGTAGAAATTCAACTCAACAATTAACCTATCAAACCTCAAAATCTCTCAAAACCTACCCATCCAACAGCTAGAACGTGAAAAATAGCTAGAAATCCATACCTTACTCGCTTGATTTGGTGGTCGGAGGAGAGAGAACGAGAGGCTTGAAATTCAGGGAAAAACCAGCCAAATTCGAGCTATTTCCGGTGGCTGTGGCGTCGGCGGAGGCGGAGGACGGCTGGGCTGAGTTGCTGCGGCGGTGGCGCTACTTCCTTGGCCGGTCTGGTGGGTTGGGATGGGGTGTGCTGGTGGTTATGGTGGTTTGGAGGTGGCGGCAAGAGAAAAGAATAAAAGGGAGGGGCGCTGGTCGCGTGGAGAAGAAGGAGAGAAGAATCAGATTTTTTAAAAATCTGGTTTGCAAAATTACCAAACTGCCTCTCAACTTATTTTGCTCGTAATTCCTTCGTTATAAGTCCGATTCGAGTCCACTTCGTACCTATGGACTCGTTTCGTCGTGCTCTACGCAATGGTACAAGTAGTTTTCCCAAATTCTTCCCTGGTCAACAAGTCAACTTAAAACATAATAAAATATTTCGAGGATAGTTTAGTCTTTTTCCTTCTTAAAATATTAGTTAAATATTAATTAAGGATTGGGTTGTTACAACTTATCCCTTGGGCCCAATAGTCTTTTGGGCTATTTTGTCCCTTTCCTTTTAAATCATATTTAAAGGCCCAATCCAATATTTCTATATGTCAATATTAATTCTATAATTAATCTTTTAATTATAATTTAACTATTAAATTATAATTATAGTCTTACTTAGTTGACCCAATTGAACTATTTGACTTTGGTCAATTGCTCCGGTCAACATGTTGACTTTTGACCGTTGACTTTGACATTTGATTATCAACCATTGACTTGTGTCTTCCATTTCATTTCTCTTCATTTGTACCTCTAATCACATTCTTTGGGTGTACAGATCCGTAGGTTCCCTTTAGCAAGGTAATGTGTTGACTCAACTCCTCAGAGATGATATACAAATTTAATTCCACAATTTAATTCTTCCTATTAATAAAGGTTAATTGAAACCTTTAAGGACATCCACAAACCATGGTTGTCGCCTAGTAGCAAGTCACAGTTATCCGAGCTAAATGAGACGTTGTGAAAGAACCTATTCAAATTGAACTGACCATGCAATTGAATCCTTCTCTTATGTCAATACTCCTTATTCACATTATTAGATCATGGAATCCGATTGTCAATATCCTAATGTGAATCATTCCTTTTATATGATTATCCTGGTAAGATTTAAAGACTTCTTCTTTCAAGTCTTATCCACTACTCTGTGCAGAGATTTGACCAATCATATCTTGGAGTATTTTCTCTCCTTTACTGAGAGTAGAGATTCCTTGTTGTACATTCATTTGCTTCCATGACTCTATTGAGAATCCTAATGAGCACCTTTAAGCTATGTCTAATTCAGCATGACCGTATAGTGCCCTCAAAGATTAACAACATAGCCATAAAACATCTATGATGCCTCAGGTCTAAGGATTAGTTTGCACCATTGCAATTTATGAGTTCCAGCTTGACATGTGAGTAAAGACTTCCATGCTGTAACTCATGTGTTGGATCGCGTTCAGTGTACTTGTTCTTCTACAAGCACCTACGCACATATCGATGTGTCTCCAAACTTAATGACTTGAGACCTTGTCATTCCCTACATATAGAGACGATACTGTGTGTACTGGTCTTTGTAGAATATTGACACCCAATCAATATTCCTATGACCAGGAACATATTTAGGGTTTAGGGATGATGAGAAGTCTTCATGTATGCAATCTCATTACATAGCTCTCATATCCACTTGTGTATTCCTTGGACTATGGTTGTTCTACATATTGAAAAATAATATAGGATGATTTAATGTATAAAACAACCTTTCTTGCCCATTGATAACATAATATGTCTTTTATCAAATATGTCCTTAACTCTAACTATTACATAAATAGTTGGCTTTAAGGGCATATTTCTAACAAGGTGACCAGCCTTATCTCCACTAAAGGCAAGCTACTTCTCGAGTACAAACTTCATGGAGTCTTTTTCGAGCGCTATGTCCCCGACATATGCTCGCAGGCGACAAGCCTTACCTCCATTGCAGGCAAGCTACTTTCCGAGTACAAACTCAATTGAGCCTTTTTCGAGCGTTATGTCCCCGACATACGCATGTAGGCGACATGCCTTACCTCCATTGAAGGCAAGCTACTTCTCGAGTACAAACTTCATGGAGTCTTTTTCGAGCGCTATGTCCCCAACATACGCACGCAGACGACAAGCCTTACCTCCATTGTAGGCAAGCTACTTCCCAAGTACAAACTCAATGGAGTCTCTTTTTTCCCCAAGTTACTGATCCTCTAGGCAATCATGTAGCTAACCACTTCAAATTGCAACGCCAAACCCATATCGAATACTAACAAAGCTGCTTCTGCTTTCCATTTCGTAACAAAAATAAAAATAACCTAATCAACTTAAATGTCTAAACACCGCCCAACAGAAGAATTCAGCAATCAATGCCCGAATGCACCACAAACATGCATAACACAATTATTGAATTAGTATAAGGTGATTTTAGCAAAACTACAAAAACCCACATAAATCAGGCAAAAATATTCGAGCTTTTCTCGTTCTTTTTCACTTTCCAGAAAATTTTCTCACTAACCAAACAAGGGAACTAGATGAAAAACAAAAAAAGATAGATGCCAAAGGCCATACCCCACTCATCTTCTTCATCAAGAGGTTGAGTGGTTCGTGTAAGATGACTTATGTGAGTTAGCCTAATCACATGTTATGATTATTGTGGGAGCGATTTTCGTCCCACGAGAATATTCATCTAAGATTCCGTCTTCTTCTTCACTTCTCTTTCTCTCTGCAAAACAAATCGGAATAAGAGGACCACACCTGGGGGGTGTTGGCCAAAGGCCCTCCGATGCCTAAGTTAGTTCGAGTGTTTGTAGGAAAACAATAGCTAACAAAAGGGTACGGAGATGTATGTATGGTGTGAGCCGAGTGGGCAGAGCCTTGTGTGAGAGAGAGAAAGAGTTATAGCGGCTAGGGTTTGTGAGATGGAATTTCTGTAGAGTTTCAGACAAAAGTTTAGATGTAGGTTTAGAGTTACCTCAAGTCTTGGTGTAGTCATGTATTTATAGGAGCCTTGGAGGCTAGGGTTTCGGAAGAATAATTCCACATATGGAAAGGAATTATTCTTCCCCAATTTGGAGAGATTGACGTAATTAGGGATTTGATTTAAATCAAATTCCTAATTAGGGTAAGAATCGAATAATTGCCAATTGAATCAGATAACTCCCAATTAGGCCAAATAATCCCCAAATGGAAGGAAATATTTGACCTAGGGTTTGGCTAAAATTCGGTTCCCACAATTATCATATTAGAATGAGATAATGGGATTTATGTTTATCAGTTATTGTTAGACTTTCAGTTTTGACAGACTTTGGTTACTTATGTTTATATTGACTAGGACTCAATCACTTAAGTATATTAGTTTTGTTTAAACTCTTACTCTATCTATAATAGGAGAGATAGTGTTAAGGTTTCTTCAATATAAAAGAATCGGTCCCTCCTCTCACAATACATGAGTTCTGTGGCGTGCTTGACCTATTGATAGCAAGAACATTCTGGTGTTGCAGAGAGAAGAAGATCATTCCCATAGTTGTCATATCTTCCTCACTGAGTATGAATCAATCTATAAGTATGCTTCATTCATGTTGTAATTCATGTGTTTATTGTATTTAACTTCAGTTTTACTTACATGTGGTATCAGAGCCTAACAATTAAAACCATGATTTCACATGCTTAATTTTGTCTAACCTGCTGCCTGGAAATTGATTGTTTTTAATGATAAATAATATTGAGGGGAGTGAATTTTGTTTTCCAATCTTATGTTTCGCATAACTGTCATGCTACTCACCCAATACAACAGGTCAAGAGCTATTTCGAAGATTTTTGACACTGTTTCTTGTTGGAAAATACAGTTGTTGTCTAAGTCATCACCAAATTGTTTCTTGAGTTAAATTCAATTAAGTGATGATTGTTGTGTTTTTCAATACATTAACAAACACTAGAATTCGATTGACTCATTGAATTGTTTTGGCTAGTGGCAATTATGTTCTTTTAAATTATTAAAGGAAATTATGCTTGTTATACACAAACTTGATTTGTTTTAAAATTCTTTTGGACCAATTGACTGGTAGGCTAATTTCCACAGAATTTTTTTAGAAAGAATTATATTTGATGTTATTATGAAAGGATTATTTAGAAAACTCAGATTCGTAGTTTATGGATTATGACTGGTAGGCTAATTTCCAAAGAAATTGTCTCCTAGGTTCTACTGTAAACTAATGTATAGTGAGTCATGAAGAACTTGAACATTATGTATTTCATCTTGCCTAAAGGTGTTGGAATTTATAATTTTTTTATTCTCATTGATTTATGCTTGGCTATGCAAACACATTTTAATAGAAAGTTTCTTGCCTAAAGGTGAAGCTGATTCAGTTTTTTATTATAATAGAAAACCTTGTGTTTCTAGTTTTCTGTTGTAATAATATATATATATATATATATATATATATATATATATGTATATCTTTTCACGTCTAATGAGTTATCAATGCTAGGTGCCAATCCCCTGAACTTCACCAACATTTAGAAACTGAATGGAAGCAACTACAAGAAATGGAAACAGGAGATTGACATTCTGCTAGGACTGTTGGAATATGATGTAGCTTTAAGAGAAGAAAAGCCAGCTGATCTGACTGCAGAAAGCACTGAAGCAGAGAAAAGTTTTTTTGCCAATTGGGAAAAGACCAACAGGTTATCACTGCTGATCATTCAGAATGCCATGGAGGAACATGTAAGAGGTGGAATCAAGAAGTGTGACACTGCAAAAGAATATTTGGCTGCGATAAGTGAGAAGTATCAGAAATCCCAAAAGGTAGAAACTGGAAATTTTTTGTCAACATTTACCACCATGAAGCATGATGGTACTGGAAGTGTTCGTGAGCACCTTTTGAAGATGGTTGATGTGGCCAACAAGTTAACTACCCTGCAAATACCTATTAATGATGAGTTTATAGTTCATATGGCACTCAACTCCCCGACTCCTGAGTATGAACAAATTAAAGTCTCCTATCATACTCAGAAGGACATATGGTCAGTCAATGAGCTAATCTCAATTTTTTGTGAGCAAGAAGACATGCTCAAAAAGGGTAAGACAGTGGTTGTTAATTTGGTTGATAACTACAAGAAAAAACATCTTCAGCGATGAAATGTTTAGCAACCAACCCAATTTCGGTCGCTCAAAATTGAAATTAGCGACAAACCTGTTGCAGTTGGTCGCCAAAGGTTTCGTGATATTAAGGCATCGTCCAAGACATGAACAAAATGAATTGCTACCAAATTCTTTAGAAGGGCGACGAAATTTTTTCGTGTCTATGGTTGTAAGTGGCGACCAAAAATAATTTTGGTTGCCATTCATTGAATAGAGTGCGCGCGAAATTGAAAAAATTCTTGGCGACAAAAGAGTTGTGTCGCTATGTTTGCCAGTGTCGTCGCAAAGCAAAAGTTCGCGCTAAAAAATTTCGGGGGTATTTGGCGACCATTGGTTTTGGTCGCAGATTAGTGTGTGCTAAGAATTAAACCCATCAAAATGACGTCGTTTTCAATATGTTGGGATTTTGGCGACCAAATTATTTTGGGGCTAATTTGAGACTATAAAAATAAAAATTCCCCTTCATCAACACGCGTGTTATTTCCCTCATTCAGTTCGCATGCCCTAACCTGCTCCGACGCCGACAAAGCAATCTGCCACCGACGTCGGCCAAGCACTCGTATGGACATACCCACTCTCTTCCCCCAAGATTTCTGATGGCCTGAGTTATTTTCCATTGTCTCTGCCCCAGACCATCTACCCTTCAGTTCTCCAGAATTTTCAGAATCTCTACAGCCACAACCAAGCAGTGATTCAAAGGTATTTTCTTCTTTTGTTTATTCAACAATTGTTCTATAGTTATTTGATTTTGATTCTTTCAAAATAAAATATGTTTTTTTTTTTGACTTAATAACAAGGTCGTTGCAAGATAGTTACTGAAAACTACTTCATACCATGTGGATTGGTTCTTAACGATAATGTTGAATGAAAGAAGGTTAAACAATTAAGGAACGAACAATTAAGGACTGACAAGTAACAAACTGGTACATGAGTGATTCTCCCAAGTATAGTAGACTTTTGAATTATTTAGAATCAGTTACGAGCCCTTGTGTAAGTGTCTTTAATTTATTAGATGAGTTTGTAGTCAAACCTAATTGGATTTGCATATAATTGAAGTAAAAAAATTGGAAGTTGGAAGTGGGTCATGTGGGTGTGTATTCGTTTCAAGGTTTCTTTGCTTGTCTGTGAGATTATGCTTTATTTTAGTTTTTATTATTGTTTTTTTTTTGGGTCAAAGGAGCTTATGCTTTTATTGTTTGGGAGAATTAAACTAGGAAAAATAATGTTGTTGTTTTTGGATGATTAGTGAAACTTAAAGGGCGAAGTCATAGACTATTTTGAGTTTGCAGACTAATTTGGTCTCAAGCTCTCCCAAAATATCGTGTCTAACAAATTTTGTTATTTTTTGCAGTAGCCTATTTGAAACACTTTCTGTGATGAATAATTCATCTATCTCAAGTACCTTTGTGATGAGAGTCGGTGTCATAAAAGTTGAATGCTTTAATTTTTTTCTTGTCTTTTTTGTTTTGTTTCAGAGAATGATATGTTGGTATGTTGCTCTGTTTGAGGCTTTGAGCCTTCTCTCTCTGTTTTTGTGCTTTGTAAATGTGCAGGATGATACTTAAGAGGGCTGTTAGCTTAAGCAATAATAATAGGCCACATATCAGCATGTGTCTCATTCTCTAAGGTGGTTATTTCTTTCACCCATGTAATCAAATCTTCAGAGCCTGTTTTCTCAGTTTTCTTTTCGTCGTTTCTAGGCAATTCGTACACTTTACGGGTCTGGCTTTCAATCCTCCCTATTTCTTGAGTTGTTCTCTAGCTGCAATTGATGAGGTGTCATTCAATTTCCAAGGCCTGTGGGGTGCTTTGTTTAGAAATCTTGGGTTTGTGTTGAGGAACATTTACTCAAAATGCAGTTTACAGAACTTCAAGGAAGTAGATGGGTTGAATTTGTATGGTTGGATCACTTTACTTTCACTCCTCTATCTATTTCTTGTGGCTATTTGTATGGTTGGGAAATGCTTGTATATCCTGACAATGGTTTTTTATACTGAAAACTCAGGTTTTTTTTTATTTTATTATTTTATATTTATTTTTATACTGAAAGGCCTTAATTTTCCACTGAATTGGTTGGGTACATAGATTTGGAATGGAATCACGTTTTGACAACCTCTCTCTCGCTCTCTCTATGATTTTGTAGTAGCGTTTTCCTCTATTTTCCCTTTATTTAATTGGTTGTGCTTTGTAATTCAATATTGCACTGTGGTCTTGTACGTTTCTTCAATGATATATCAAACTGTCCATTTTTTTTATAGACACTTTGTATTTCTTTTAGAGTTTTGTTGTTTAGTGCAGCCCAGTCTGTTTTGGATTTTGTTTTTGACATGCTTCCTTTACTTCGAATGCCATGAAATTTTGATGTGATGAAGTTTTATGTATCTAGTTCTGACCTGGAAAGTTTCGCACTATTTCGACTCAAACTGATTTTTTTTGTGAATTTCCCAAGTTGAAGTGTTCCTGCCCAAATTGTTTAACAAAATATGTATTTGGTCATCTATGATTTAATGCAAACTACTTCATACCGTTTTTGTTGAATTGTCGTTTTGCTTATCAATGTTTGAAGACCAAATTAAAGTGCCTAGAAAATTAGGAATGTCGGGCTATGTGCTTAAGCAAACTCTGTGTCTTGGGCTTGAAAATATGTTAAAGAAATATCTTCAAGACTTCTAGTTTTTCACTAGGATCATCCTCTGTTAGCTTGTGTTTTCACTTTTAAAGAATTTTTCATGTTATTTAATCTCAATTCAATCCTCTTTTGCTATATTTAGATCTCTTTTTATTTCAATTCTTCATTGTATTCTAGTGGAAACTGAAAAAGTTGTCGTTCAGTGTTTCTATTTGCTTTGAAAACATTAAAAACAATGAGTGATTGCCTTATTTGGGTTTGTGGTTCTCTTTATCTCATAATGTGTTTAGAACAATGTCATTTAGGAGTCTAACTTTACTGAGGTAATATCCTGTTTTTGCATGTCAGATTATTTGATGAGGTGGAAGGATTTGGTTTGTGGTTTTGGACAGAGGACCATTTGAGTAAGAACCTCTTCTTCTCATTACACTCAGTTCCATTTGTTTTCTTATTAACAGCTATAGTGGTTGTCAATGTCATTGTGGTGTTGTTTGTTTAAATTATTAAAATGACATACGTGTTTTGTATTGTGTTGAGAAGTTATGCAACCCATGTTGGTTAAGGTGTGGATTATACTTTGGATTTTATGATTTATGTTTTCTAATGGGTTTGTGCTATGCATGATATAAGTCTTTACATTGATTTTTCGGAATTGTTTTCCTTCTTCATTTGTGGTATTTGTTATTATCACAAAGGTATGCTTTAGACAGTTGATATTGAGAGGTATGAAAAATGAATTCAAATTTTATTAAGTTTGTTCAAATAACCATTCTCAAACATTCTTAAATATTGATGACCAGTGATCATTTTTCTTGTGTAGATCCAAACTCTTTTTAATGGCGTATTTAGTTAAGATTGTGAATTTCAGCTTTTGGGCAAGATTTCTTGTAATTGTTTGTTTTTGGTCTATATATATATATATTTAAATTTTCTTGGTTTTGGCATCTTCTTGACCATTGGCATTTCCTTGTTTTGTTTCTTTTGTAAAGGAAGATGATTGATGAGTTTGAGCAGATCAAGCAACAATTGGCAGAGTGTTTGGGAATTCCATGATATTAGATCACAGTCCCTATCCCACAGGTGTTAAAGATCATGACTACAAAACTTGGAATTACAAAAGGTAAATACATGCATTTTTTTCAGTCTTAGAGTGGGGAAATAATTACTATAGAACTAGGGCAAGAATATATGGAGCTTGGCCTACAGTCTTTGAGTGAGGAGTTCTTCACTCGTTTATATATACTATTCACTACTACAAAAATTGAAATAGACGACGGGGAAACGCCGTCGTCTTTTTCTTTTTCAAACCGTCGTTAAATCGACAGTCATCTTTTTGAAAGTCAAACTACGACGGTAATTCACCGTCGTCTATTATATGTAAAAATGACGGTTTTTAAAAGAACCGTCGTCTATTACATGTAAAGACGACACTTTTTCTGAAAAAACCGTCGTCTATTTAA